TCAAGTGGGGATAACTTGGGTTACATGGTAATTTGAAGGGTAGCTCTTGCTTTAATTGGCAGCTGGATCTTCACTTCTGAGATGCTGAGGATGCAGTGACAAGGATAAATAGCACCACAGGACCTGGCTGTGATTTCTGACTGGCTGGACTTCATGTGAGCTCAAAATCACATCCATGTTTATGGAGAAAAGCTGTTGAGAGGAGGGTATTACCATTGTCATTGTGTGGACAAAGGAATGGCCCTGTGGGGACAGGCTTCTGACAGCTTTATTTATAACCCTGCTCCAAACAGAGCCTGAGTCCTCCACAGCTGGCTGGGAGGGAACAGCAGACACGAGTCATGCTGGGTCTCTCGTGGCAAATCAAATCCAATAAGAAACACGTTCGAATGTGAACCTACAATTTTCATACTCTGTTTAAACCCTGATGATGCTCTCTTCTGGGATTTTCTGGGTGACTTGTAATCTTTAGCACAGTAATCTGCAGCAGCAGAAGTTGCACATGAGCCACTGTACTTTTAAAGTGATTCCTCACATTGCCTGCAGCTCCGTGGCAATTGCTCACTGCGGGTAATTAAATTGTCCTGGGCAGAGCTGGGAAGGACTCATGGCAAATGGAAAGAGGAGAAAAATTAGAGCCAGAGGTTCACTGATCATAGCTGATGCTAAAATATCTTTTTTTAATGGAACAATTTATTTTCTAGTTTATAGCAGTAGCTGAATTAATCAGCTGCCTGTGGCTGCCTTTGCATACAGAATCAGGGACAGGCAGGGCAGGGTGCAGGCACGGTGACCACGCTGACTCTGCCCCTCATAATCTCTCTTTAAAGACTCTGTTCCATTTTATTTGCATTTTCTGCCTTACCACTTCTCTTTCTATCCCTGGTGATATTTTTATTTTTATCACTTAACCTTCCTCCTAAAATTGGTGACTCTGCTACAATTACCTGGCAGAGTTCAAGGTCAGGAACTCACCACTCAGCATGGAAGGAGATGTAAGAAATGGTTTTAGCAATAAAGTCTTCACCCATGGTAGTGCTGCAGCAGGCTGCTGCTCTTTAGCAGCTAAACACCCACCTCAAAATTAATTAATGGGTTTTTCCAACGTTAGGCCTCTCTGTTCTTCAGAGCAGAACTGGAAGGTGAAACAACTGAGTGGTTTAGTGGCAACACAGCAAAACAAAATAGGTGTTTCTAGTTTTGTATCCCAGTTCCTTGATCACAATATGTATAAAAGAATCTTTGAAACAGGCTGGGAATCAAATAAATATTCAGATGGAGAAACAAATTAGGAACAGATAGTTCCAGACCTAACCAGGCATGCAGAGCCCTCTGTTGATCTAGAAATTAGAGATTTCCATAGTCAGCTGAGCACTTCCCAAAGAGCATCTAAAAGTTTCCCAAGGTTAATTTGAGAGTAGAAATGATCTATAAATCATTATGATGTGATGAGTAGATAAAACCAGACAAAAATGGTGGGATTTTTAAACTACTATTCAGGATAGTGATAGCTGAATGCTGGAAAAATTGTAAAAACAGTTGTTTATAAAGGCATTTGTGATCTGAAGGAAAACTAGAGTGGAAAGTTACTCTGTTTGGGGGTTTTTTGTTTGGGGAGAGGGGTTTGAGTGTTTCTGGGTACTTTGTAATGAGCCTGTTGAATCAATTTGTATATCTATTCTAGCACCAGCCTTGCCAAAAGCCTGAGTTGAACACTAGGAGTCTGTGAAGCAATTTTACAGAATTCATTGGGCTTTTAGTCAAATCCAGGACATGGGTTCATTCAGGTTTTCATGGCTTTAATTTAAGTCTCTCATAGCTGATAATACTGAGATTACAAAATGCACCTGGGGAAGAAGAATCAGTCCTGGCCTTTCCCACGTGGCTGGTTCCAGGTGAAATGCCTGGATTTTGCTGTGGAAATTTACCTTTCGTGTCTTCTCTGTTTCTTTCAAATACACATTTGGAGGATTTTCCTGCTCCAGAATATGCTGTCTCTAGTCTAGAAGATTTTTATTTTAAATGCAATAGTCAGATTGATGGTCCTTTTACCTGAAATACCCAGTGCCTGTTTCAATTAACACTCTGTAAGCATTTCCCCAGGTGGGGTGGGGTCTGTAGGGTGTGCATGGCAGTGATTGCCATTCCTGTAGAAAACCAGTCCAGATTTCCTGATCTGAGACCCAGCTGGCAGAGCCCAGGTAGGGCTGGCAGCCTGGGAGTTACAGCCCTGCATGGGTTCTGCACTCTCTGCTGTGCTCCCTGCAGCACCTGAGCTTGTACCCAGGCTAGTTCATTTGGAATTAGAGGGGTTTTTCATTTTTTGGGAATTTCTTTATAAAATTCTCTACAGAATTATCTGTACACAAATTCTCATTTACACAGGAGAAGCCCTTGGCTGCTTTGAGCTTATCACAGTGTTCCTGTTCTTTGTATTTACACACAAATTACTGCAAGTCCATTAAGTTCTCCCACACCACAGCAATGGCATGGTGGTGATTTATGTTCTAACTGTAACAGCAATTCACCAATTGACTAGAGTGTTTCTTGTCATGAATATTTTAATGAGTGCTATAGACGTTATATCTGGTGAAAGAATATAATTTTCAGATGTCAGCTCTTGCCAGATGACATAGCAGAAGAGAGGCACAAACTGTTCAAATGAACAAATGTCTAATAGACTGATCAGAAAATTACACTGTAGCTGCTTTTTTTCATGTTTCTTTGCTGGCAGACATTTGCTAAGCTGATGACCTGATTGACAGGTAACACTTCACTGCATTTGTAGGTTTCTTTGAACAAAGATCAGGGAAATAAAACAATGAAGAGAAATATATTTACTACTAGCAGAAAACCTGAAGAAACATAGTTTGCATGTTCCTCAATAGCTGTGTTTGCCAGGGAAAAGGGCAAGGGTAATGGGAATGAGATGATCTGAATATCCTTTGTAACTTCTCCTATTTGAATTGTCAAAGTGGAGGAAATCACTTAGGTCTAATTCCTGGGTTTGAGTTACATGGTGAAAGTCTGCAGAGAATGTTGGTAAAGAAGCACCAGGGGTCAGCTGGAGCCCCTCCCTGGGGAGGGAGGACACAGGAGGGACCCTGAGGGACAGGGCTCTCTTCAAGGGCTGATGTTCCAGAGAGGCATGACACAAACCTCATCTGAGCTGTCTTGGCAGACACAAGATTTACCACAATTGGGTTTTTTGCATGTCCCTATTAACAAGGTCCATGAGGACTTCACAGAGTGGCTGTGGGATATTAGGAGCAGATGTTTGTATAGAACTTGGGAAGATTTTTCTCCCATTTGTTGGTGTTCTGGTCACCAGGGTCTCTTGCAAGAGCCTGAGAACACAAGTAGCCTCTAACCAGAAAGACATTTCTTTCCTCCTGGTTCCTGCTAAGGGAATTCCTTCTCCTTCAGGGTTACAGCGGAGGGAAAAGGGCAACAGTAGAAGTGAGGGGGAAGAGGGATAGCAGTCATTATACAGTGCTACCTTCTGAGTCACAGCCCTTTTAGGAAAAGAGGAGAATAATTCCTTTGGTTTTAACTGAATGGTTGAGGTTGATAGCAAGAGGAAAGATGGTTCCTGTCAGCAAGCAGAATTCCTGTCTGGTGCAGGGGATGAGGAGAGAGCAGCAATCATGTCCAGACAGCCAGGTCATTGCCACATGGTAATAACTGTGCCCAGGTTTGGGTGTTGATTCAAACCAATATAACTGTGGTCAGGTTTGGGTGTTGATTCAAACCAATATATCTGTGGTCAGGTTTGGGTGTTGCAGATTCAGACTGGCAATCAGGGCATGGAAAGCTCCATGTGTCCCTCTCAGCCCTCTGATTTGAGCACAGCTCATTGATTTGAGCACAGCTCATTGATGTCCATCTTCTCTGCAGGGGCTGACAGGTCCCTTTTGAGCATTTGTTGTTAGCCACGCCAATAGGAAATATTTTCAGGGCTCACAAAGAGATTGGATTTTAAAATATTGAAGGAGGATGGAAAAAAAAAAAAGTAAAAGGAAATTAAAAAGGACTGATTTGCACATGAATGTATTTTTTATCAGTTTTTCAGGCTTATTGGATGACGGCAGAAAAGATTAAAAATATCCTTACCCACTGAGTGAGAAATGTATGTTATTAATGCAGATAAACTTAATTGAAGCTACATGTCAGACATTTGAAATATATTTCTATAGAGGTTTTTCCACTCTTGTTGAGAAGCTGAAATTCATCATGCTTGGACTTGATGTTCCTGAAGCTGGAGAGGAAGGGAAAAGTGATCCCACAAGCTCCTGCTCACTAGAAGGAGGGGAAGCACCACAGGGATGTCCTGGATGGAGTTGTCTGGGTATCTGGGCTTAATTTCCTACTATCCCAGAGTCTTCTGTCATCTGTCTCCATGTCTAAGTGGGAATGTATGGTGCTCAGTGACAGACAGGTGGGAGCTAGAAAAAGATTAACTATGACTAGATATTCAGGTTTTAAACTTCATTGTAAAAAGACAGTGGTTTAATGTTAGATATAAAAAGAAAAGCAGATAAAGCAGGGCTTCAGTTTTCTCTTTAGTCAATCTCTGATCAGACCAGCTGGATTTCGGGAAATATATTCAACTTTTAGAGCCAAAATGTCTTCAAATTTTTAAAGCCAGCCAGTGTTTTAGCTAAGAGATAGACAGGACAGAGAGTATCCATCTGGTTTCCACTGTGTTGATAGAAATTACCAGATCATTGGGCTGGATTCCCCTCCCTCAGAGTATCTGTAAAAGTCACCATTGACTGCCTTTCTCCTCCTTTGTGTGCTGCACTAGGGTCAGGATCAGGCTCCCAGGAGTTTGTTTAAATTAACAGCAACCTGAGTAGGCATATTTAGTTCTGAAACCTGACAGTCCAATATTCATTAAACAAGGATTTGTCCTAAATGGATGGGTTTCCTTATGCAACAATAAATTAAAATGTTAAACTGTATTAACCCAAAAGAAAATTGCCCTCCCTCCTCCACAGGTGCCTTGAGCTGTTGGGATTTTTCTGCAGACCTTCATTAAACTCAGGGCTTCATTTTACCCACATAGAGATAAGTGCAGCATACCAGCTCCCATATGGGCAGGGCTGAGAACAGCTTTCTGCTTCATGGCTGACACCATTAAGTGCTAAAAACTCTTCCCACATTTGTTTATTCACAGCATCACAAGATGCTGTGTCCTGTGAATGAGCCTGTTTGGGCTTCAGTCCCCTCCTTGGAAACAGGACTTGGAAACAGGAGAGAGCTGGAGGAACTGGAAATAAATTAAACACACGCAAGGTGTCCTCATATGAGCCAGCAGCTTCCCATGTCTCAGCTTTGACTGAGCACATCAGGGCCAAAGCACAGTGAGTGCATTCCTGTGCTCTGACCCTCCAGTCACAGCTCTCTGAGCCTTCAAGGAACAGCAGGTTCTGGAAGAAACACTGCAGAAAATGCCAATACTGAAATCCTACAAAAATTCCAGGCAGTAACAGAACCAGAGGAGATCCAAGTGGATCATGAACCCACAGGTATCTTGGGCAAGCTGGAGCTGCTCTCTCAGGTTTGTGTCATAACCACCTCTGAGTTTATTTCATTTGCTCTGCTCAGAATTGAAGCTGCACCAAAACTTCCACACATAATCCCATGTGAGATCAGGGCTCATGTCACTGATGTTAGTCAGTAACAGGAAACTGAACAATGGAGTGTGGATTAAAAATCAACCATGCAAACCATTATGTTTCAGCACTCTTGAAGTGCTAGCAACTGCTGCTTTTCCTTTTGCATGAAAAATGTTTCTCTGAACTGCAACAGTTGAGGCAATCAACAGCTCCAGCACTAAAAATCAGGCAGCTAAACCAGAAAATTGGGTGCAATTTGTAATCTGCACAATGTGCAGAGTCTTCTGCCAGAATACATTTTGTGGAGAACATTTATTTGGGTCATATCCCCCAACCTGGGATTCCTCAGGAAGACTCAGCAGGTTTTATCCAACATAAAAAAACCCCACATTTCTGCATTCAGGCAGAGAGGCATCTGCAAGGCCCTGTCAATCTTCCCTTACAATGAAGTGTTGAAAGGCAAAAGACAGACTGTGGAGTGTTTCAGGAGAGAGACACGGAGACATCTACACCCACAACGCTGACAGAGCCCTCTGCACACCTAAAAGGGGTTGTTCCTGCTGGGAAAAAGGGCTTTTATCCAGTAACAGGGTTTCTAATCAGTTTTCTGTCCCCTCTGTCGTGTTGTATTGACTCTTTTCCTGCCTGTGGCTCCCACCTGCACACTGCACCCTGCCAGCCTGTGAGCAGCTCCAAAGTGGCCACAACAGCAGGATTTGCACAGCAGAGTGAAAATAATGAGAAACACAGCCCCCCATTCTGCCATTAGAGTCCTGGCAAGCCCTTTTATTGCCCGTGGTGCAGAAGACAAAGAGCACAGGTTGGAGTCATCTCTCAAGAAATGGGGGCGGTGTATTTGAGGAAAGAATCAAGCCAGTCTGTGTTTCCAAGGCAAGGCAGCTGATTGCTGGGTGGATTCCCCGTTGTGCTGTTCTGTTCAGGGAGAGGGAGATACAGCAGCAGGACCCAGGTCTGCTGGGCTGAGAGAGCACCTGAAAAGCAACCCAAATACCTTGGGATGATTAAATAAATCAGTGTTTCATCATAACCACACAACTGTTACTATAGGACATGAAATAACACAACATACACACACTGCTGTTTTTAAGGGAACAAAAGGAAGTTTATTTTTTGACTCTAACATTTATAGGTTTCTAAAAGTGACAGTAGATTGGAGGATGAAAGTGACGCCTCTCCAATGACACTGGACAATTTAACAGTCTATCAAATTTCTTCTCTTCTATAAAAGAATGCAAAACAATGTCATTTACAGAAAGTGTGTGAGAAAGTTTGTTACAAGAATGTAAGCATCGGAAGATTTAGAAAATTTTGAAAAAACAGAGTGCCACACAACAACCAAAAACCAAAGCAAAAAACCCCAAACAAATACCCCAAACAAAAAAATCCCCAACAACAAAACAACTAAACCACCCTCCAAAACAAAACCAAAACTCCCACAGTTTTTACTGAACTGGAAATCTAAGTATTTGCTGTGATCCAAACCAGAGTGCTCTATAAGTTTTGTAGATAGTCTAAGCCACTCTGTTATGCTGTGATGCTGACTATTTTCTTCCCATTTGGCTTCCAGCACTGCACTTCATGTCTCACAGTACCATGCATTTGTTAAATCATACCCCACATTTTGGTTAGAATTCACAGCTGCACCTCCATAGTGAGCACATCAGCAGGGACCTCTCCCACATCCCTCTCCTTCATTTCTGAAACTCTCTGTGCTTTGGCCCATCACTGAGCCCAGCTTTAGCCATACATTCACAGCTTTATGATGTGTGTCTGATCCCCCTGGCCCCCTGCACCACCCCATTAGCTTGCAGTTGCTGCTCTTTGCTCTTGTACACAAAGCTGAATTCTCAATTTCTGCTGCTGATACGGAGAAATGCTGGTGTGCACCTGCTCTGTACTCCAGTGAAGCCACCCCAGAAGAGAAATGAGAGTTTCACAGCTGTTTTAATGAGCACTGTAAGGTTAGCCTGGCAGGTTACAACAGGTAGTAATTGTCTGCTGTTACATGGTGATGACAACCTGACCACAGTGTTATTATGGTAATAGCATCACAACATTATCTTAATAAGCTGAGGCCAAATAAGGTCTGTATTGCCTTATCTTAGAGGTAATTCATTCCTATGAATTGCACCATGAGGCAATGCCATGGGGATTTTGCAGCTCAGGCAGTCCTGAGAGAAGTTTGTGAGTGCTCACATGTGATGAACATTTGCAATAGCTGACAGAACACCTGAACTCCTTGGCATGTGCAGTAATTGATTCCTAGGAAAAGTCTAAAGCTGTAAGTAATCCATGCACTTTTCTTTTGATCCTGTGAGGCCAAAGGGAGAGTGGGGCCCCACTGCAGAGAAGGGAGAAAAAGCACCTCAAAGTCATTAAGAAAGTCCCAAGAAATTGGACTGTGATAATTTTGTTTTCAGTCCTGGTCACATAATTCATCCTTAATTTGAGATGTCACAACTGTCCTCCAAGTTTCTGCTGGAAATGCCCTCCCCTGCTGCAGTGGGGGTGGCAGGACCATGTCCTGCAGCAGAAGTGCCTGTGGTGCAGCTCTCCAGAACCAGGCTCCAATTAGCTGCACATAAGCTCCAGAAAAAAACCCTTTACACTATGTGCCAACGCGGTGGTAACTGATTGCATGTGACAGTGCACTAATTGTGTTGTGCCTTTGAGCAAGTGCAGTGCCTGAATGGAGATGGTGACTCCAGCTTTGCTCTCAGCACAGGCTGGGGAGGGCAGAATTCAGCTGGGGAGCTCTGTCGGCAGTGTGGGGCACCAGGCTGCTGGCTCCTTCTGAGCCTGGCGCATCAGGAGCACCTGGAGCATCCAGGAGGTTCTGGACCATCCAGGAGGACCTGGTCTATCCATGAGGACCTGGTCTATCCATGAGGATCTGGACCATCCAGGAGGATCTGGTCTGTCCAGGAGGATCTGGTCTCTCCAGGAGGTTCTGCACTATCCAGGAGGATCAGAACCATCCAGGAGCACCTGGGCCAGCCCAGCTCAGCTGCAACAACCCCACCTGGCAGGGGCAGGAACACATGAAATCTTTGTATTGTTATTCCTAGGTTTTACTGCAGTCAATACCAAGGTTTTGGTTTCTTTACGAACATAAGGTGCTTTTTTGGCTGGTATCTTTTGTTCTGTTTTGTTTGGGGTTTTTTTTGTCTGGTTTTGTTTTGTGTGTTTTTTTTTGTTTGTTTCTTTGGTTTTTTTTTTGTTTTGTGGGGTTTTTGGGGGAGTTTTTTGTTTTGTTTTGGTTTTTTTTTGTATGGACATTCTCCAAAGAAGGAATTTGATAGGGGTGTTGACAAATAAACCCAGGGAAATGAGATGTTCTGCCATTCTTCCCCCCACAGCAGCTCTGTACCTGACTAAAGGCCTTGCAGGAACTACTGATAAATCCTGCTCCCCAGGTGAGCCCCAGATGACACTGTGGGCAGACAAGAGTCAATATAAATGGCCCCAGTGCATGGAAAGAAGGATTTAAGAGAGGGTTTGCAGGTGGCTTTGTCACTCCTGCAGCTGTCATTGCCCTGGAACAAGGGACCCCAGTGCAGAAGACTTTTTTAGGGACTTGTGAAACAAAATTTCATCAAACTAAGTCAACAAAAGGCAATGGATCACACTGACATTGCTCTACAGCACAGAGGATTGAGGACATCTGGGAGCCCAGAAGGAGCATTGCAATTGGATACCATTGCCCATCAAGTTGGTGAGCAGAGACAGCATCAAAATTCAGGATTTGTGATATTTCAGAGAATGATTGCAAAAAAAAAGGCAGATATGTAAAACCTAATAAGCTATGTGCCAATGCAATGTCAAAGTGAGCATGAAATATTAATGATATTTAAAAATGTACATATACATTCAATTTTGATACAAGTGGTAAATCATGTAATAAAATAAAGCAGAATATTTTACCTGCTAGGTTTGAAATGCAGTTGGAAAGGAATTTACTACATTGTAGCCTTTAGTAATAAATGGTAGAAGGAAGCACATCACTCATAAACATTCCTTTGTGAATGGTGGAGTGCTTTCATTTATGAAAAGGTTACTGTGGTCAAAATGATCCATTCTGCACAGCAGGACACAAGCACTGCTCTGGAGGATTTCAGTCCTTTTGGAGAAAAGAATCACATTATAGTGTGGGGAACAGCCCTCAATCTGACAAACAGGTCACCTCTGTGGGTGTTTTCTTGGAAAAAAAAACCAAACATTTTCTACTTGTCATAGTTACTTGACTGTTTCTCAGATTGCAAACTTCCCTGATCCTTAACAAAGTGAGCTATGTGTTTTATTATCATTCTCCCTTCCTAAAATTATATCCCAAGGATTTTTTCCAGTTTTGTAAGGTTTATTCCAAACTATTAAAGACTTTTTTTCTCCAGTTCTTAAAGAAAAAAAAAGTTGTTGGGGTGTGCCACTGCACTTGATGATTTTTACTTTCTGCTATACTGCAATGTATTCATTCAGCAATTGCTGCAGCAATGTTAAAATAAAGTTGTAAAAAATTATGGTTTTCATCTAAGAGGAGAATTCTTAAGTCATACTATTGAATAATTTTTGATAGAAAATAACAAGTTCACATGAGGTAAATAAGTAATGTATTATTATTAAATATAAAATGTAATGCAATGATAATTCTGGTGCCATTGCAGACGAAGGCTGGCTCTGCCACAGAAACAAGGCAGAGAGGCTCTAAGGATGCTCATGGATTTGTTTGGCCGTGAGGGCTCTCCAGCTGGGGCCAGGGCTCTCTGTGCAGGTGTTCAGGCCCAGAGCAGGAGGGCTGGGGTGGGACAGGAGAGAAATCCTGACAGAGGCAGCAAAGGCAGCGAGTGCCGGGCTGTGGGGTGGGGGTGATGCTGCAGCCCAGGCTCCTGCAGCCTCCTCCGTTCTGTGTTTGTTAATTTATGTCTGAGCAACCTTTTCCTCTTGAGTTTGGCAGAATAAGCATCGCTCCTCTCCCTGTGAAAACTCTCTTATCAGCGATGGCTCCTCAGCACCCTGCAGATAAGAAGCCCAGGGGCCCCCAGGCTGCTCCCCCGTCCTTCAGCCAGAGCTGCTCCTGCTCCACAGCCCTGCAGGTGTGTGGGAAGCAACTCCACAAATGCCTTTTTGCATAGAAATGAGAAGCTATTTTAAAATTAGATTACTATCATAAAAAGCCTTGCTGCTGCTTCTCATCTGTTCTACCTTTCCACTTACATTCCCTTTATTGCTGCTAAGCTTCTTACCATGCCAACGTCTTTTAGGTGTGTGATTAAAAGTATTTTTAAATATCCAAGCTGTACTGAGTGATAGCAAGTTGAAAATAATAAACTCTAATTTGAAAAATGAAAAGCAGCTAATGCATTATTTAGAAAAAACAAGTTGCTTACTGAAAAAAAAAATTGTTTTTCTTTATAGCAGAGTCTGGTCTTTTGCTGTTTTATTATCTGATATAATTTACCTGTACATGGCACATTTTACCTCTATAAACATAGATTTATTTTTTTTTCCCCCCAGCAATTTAAAGCATCCAGAAATTCGTCTTTCATTTAGAAGAACATGAAATTGAGGTACGAATAATACCTGCTGATGTAGCTGTCTGGTACCAAATCACATCATTCAGCCTGGCTGTTCTTATACTCTGTGCAGACTCGGATGCTTTTTGCATTTAGACAATTTCTCTTTGCTTTTCTGTAAAAAAAATGCCTTACCCTGCCAAGGCTTGGCCCTTTTGGGAGCATTCAGGTGCCCTACTGCATTCATTCCAGCTGGGAGGGTAAGGCTGGGTTTGAGGAGAGCTTTGGCCCAATGCTCACCAACCTCACTCCTGGTGTTTGTAACCCTCCAGATAAACCAGGCATGAAGGCAGGAGGAGCTGGTCAAAAATCCCAGTGGTTGCACAGGAACTTGCTGAAGTTGCAATAATGTAAAGTGAGTAGGAAGTTCAAATTAAGGTAATGATT